AGAAGTTAGAGGGTTGACATGTTATGGGGTTGTTAACCAATGTCATAAAACAATATGTGTACTACTGTTTCATGAGAAACTATTTGTTCTATAAGCCTTCACCTGAAGTACAATAAAAAAATAAAATAAAAATGCACCCTGTAATTGTGAGTTGCCAGATTTAAGACTGACAACTAAAGCCTTTTTCTATTCTTTGTCCAGGTTCACTCTCTTTCTTGGCCCTCTTTACTCTGTTTCCCTGACTCAACTCCCCATAATACATAATAGCTATTTGATAGAATTCATGAGAAAATAACATTAAACACAATTCATTGCAATGTATTTCGCTTCATATTTAATTTTGTTGTAATACAGAGCTGATCAAAGAAGAATAGGACTTTGTATTCAGAAAAACCAGAATTAAAATGTTCTACTTTACAGATTTGTTTATTCAGTTTATATTTAAAATTCCAGACATACTATTTGTACCCTTAATAACATGCTTGTTTTTCATCTGAACCCAAATAAGGGCCAATAAATATGTATTTGCACTTATATTCAGACTTCAAGACCCAAAATGACATAATTGCCCAGGCCTCCCCTTATTTCTATCCCATTACATGGTCAGATCCAAATTAAGAATAAATCAAAAGGTGTCTTACATCCCAGAACTGCTCTACAAAACTGATAAGCAATTATCCCAGACTTAAAAGCTTAGAAGAATTTCACAGACAAAAGTTTATTCTAGGGCAGATACCTAGTTCAGCCTATCACAAATTTCCAGATAAATATCAAAGCTTTTGGAGTCCTTTCAAAACAAAATGTCTGTCAGGTTCTCCTTAGTGTCAACCTTGGCTCTCAAGTCTGGCTCACAACCAATCAGCCAGCCTTTGAAGTGGGGAGGAGGATCATTCTTAGGGAATTTGACCAATGGCATTGAATGCTGCAGCCAAAAGTCCCGTGAATTTCAATTCCTCTTTCTAATACATTTTTTTCTAATATATTTCAACACTGACTCTGACAAAGATAAAAATGACCACAAAATAATAACCTATCATAAACAATACAAAGAATCACTTTTTAAACAGAATCTTTTTTTCATAGAATAAAATCCAGTAAAATTATTACCATATCATAATTAAAGGAATCTTCACAGAATTTTAAATCTTTGTCTTCTTTATATTCTGAATGGAAGACTTCTTCACTAAATACAGAATGTTCTATATAAAACACGATTCCACATTAACTGTGGTAAAAGGTGTGACAAATCTCATGATAGATAAATAAAACCCAGATGTTGGCAGTATCCTATTTTTCTTAGCTTGAAAGTTATCAGTTTCTCAATCTGTACTGAAATATAAAATAATCTAGGTAAAATTTTGAACTGTTTTTAAAACTGGTTTTTGCCTTAAGGAGCAAATTTTAAAGACCGCTTCCTGGGAAAGGGTGACCCAACAGGAATTCATACAAGTTTATTTGTAAATAACCATACATGAGACATGGGGGTAACAAAGTGGTTTACAAAGAAACTCCTACTGATACACTACTTGGTCCTATAATTTACAGCCTGAAATTTCCTTCCTAAACTTGACTCTCCCCCAACAAATTAGAGAACATTCAGGATTACATAATTCCTTCTTCAGGAATTCCTAGAAACTAGAATCTATCTAGCATAAAAACCAGAACTGTACTGGCTAAAACAAGTTATCTGTTCACTTTGTCTAAATGCCTTTGATTCCCTAAGCCCACTTTTTTCCTCCACAATGCAAAAAGTTCAATTCTGAAATCCTGCTCACCCACTGCCAAAATCTACCTGTAAGATTTGAATAGAACATTCCTTTTTATTAAAAATTAAAGTCCATACAACTATTAAAAAATAATCCAGTCACGTAGTTCCAAACGACTAATAAATACCGTTTCACATGGAGATTGTCTACTACACAACATTTCCAGATCAGACAAAATTGAGGCTATTGACACCAACAAAAAAAGTGTTACTATTATTGGCTATTAATTAATACATATTAAGAGTCTTGTGGCTGTTAATCAGTACATGTAGTAACTGAATCATAGGATATGACGGTATTTACTAAAATAGTATGTTACCTGTAACACAAACAAACGAACTTGGTGTTCACTTATAATCCCTTCCTTACAAAACCGTACACCACAAATCCGTTACCAAGTCGCCAATTTAGCTTGAGTTTTATCTTTTCTCATTGTTTTTTCTCTGTTCACCTTATTGGTAGACACAATCTGAATAAATAACTGCTGTTTTTAAACAAAGAGCTGAGAGGGATGATACAAGACAGGGAAGTTGGATCATTCAGGAGTTATCAGACACATAAGCTCCTCGTGCTCTTGCCTAGAAAGAGTTGAATAGACTATTTACAAAGGCTGAATAGGAAAAGAACGATATACAACTATGAGAGAGTCATGGCCTGTGCATCTTCCTGTAAAGTGAAGAACTAAGGCAATTTCGTGTCTATTTAATTAAAAGGCTTAAGGACAAATGCCTTATAAAATTGTTAAGATATTTACCTTAGTTCACCACCCTTTGAAACACCATGCAAGGGTCGCAAGACAATCTTCCTCTTTGGGTCCTGAAC